TCAGGATAAGTTTTTTATCTAGGTTCAGGTGTAGTAACATGGAGCTCAAAAAAGCAAGAAACCATTGCCTTATCTTCTTCAGAAGCTGAGTATGTGGCTGCAGGATCTACAGCAAAACAAGCCCTATGGATAAAGAAGTTATTGACATATTTAGGATGCATGCAGACTGAAAGTGTTGAGCTATGGTGTGATAACAAATCAGCTATAGCTATGGCAAAGTATCCAGCCTATCATTCAAGAACAAAGCACATAGATGTTCAGTATCACTTCATCAGGCAACTTGTAGCAAAAGGAAGCATTTCGCTTCAGTTTTGTGGAACTGAATGGCAAAATGCAGACCTATTTACCAAGGCTCTAAATCATGCAAAGCATTATCATTTTGTGAAAAGAATTGGAATGATCAAGCTTGGATTAAGGGGTGGTGTTGAAACTGATCAAGCTTAATCATGCATGGCTGCATGCATACGTAGCATTGGCTCCATTGGTTTAATATTTAATTACTTATTATCATTTGAATAAGTCTTAGCATTAATACCTATTATTTCGGAGCATTACTAGGAAGTTGTTTAAGTAGTGCATCACGTTTAAATATGGCTATTAGTTAGGAAGTGGTTAGTTTATTTTGTGGTCATTAACTCATGTAAAATGGCTATATAAAGCTCATGCTCTTTACTCTAATGATATGTGCTTTTGATTGCCTTTATTTGTCTGCCTATTCGTGTGTACTTCATCCTACAATAAGGAAATAAGAAGAAGTGTGAAGTTAATTTGGGACTTCCCGAAAAGGAAAGTGGGAAGTTGTTTGAGAACCGGAGGGAGTATGTTTTAATAGGAGTAAACATACTCCTTTTTCCTAAATAAAAGTAAAACATAATTTTTCTAAATAGGACCAAACATTAATTTTCTACTCATAATATCCCTAGTCTAGTTAAATAATACAAGTAATTGCCCCCCAGTTCTCTTGCATAATCGGGTCAGTCGGTTGGTGACAAGTCAGTCCGGTGATGGTGGAGGAGATCCGCCGACTAGCGGTAGTGACAGAGGAAGCACTCTAGTTTTTTTCGATGGATTCCGAAAGCGGCGGTAGATCAAGCAGTGGCAGATTGGGGGGGGGGGGGGGGGGGGTAGATCTCTTCTCTACGGATATTCTTAGGGGTGGGCATAACGGTTGGGTTTGACCGAACCGAACCGTACCAAACCGAATTAAACCAAACCGAAACCGAACCATTTGTAATTTGGTTTGAGTTTGGTAGTATTCCTCCCAACCCGTATTAAACCGAACCAAACCGAACCGAAACCATAAAACCGAATAAAACCGAACTAATCTAAAAATGAAATGATTTCTTATTTTTTTTAAATAACAAATCAAATCCAACTTACACCAAACTAAACCAAACCAAAATATAATATTTCTCTCATTAATTTGATTGATGTTAATATTTTTGAAGCTTTAGTTCTTTAAATTTAGTGTCTAGGACTAGAGTTTACTACAAGACTTACATTCACAACTATAACAATTATAGTGGTTTAAGTAGATATTATTTAACTATAATTTATTATCTACTACTACTATATATTTGGATCATTACTTACAAGCACTAGTTTTGTTTTTGTTTCGGCTTTATATATAATTTGATTCATTCCCGTTGATGTTGTTTCTTACAAATGTGTCATGCTTATATATTTTTGGTTCATATGTGTTTTGTTACTGTTTGAAAATTTATATCTAACATTATATTTGATTCATTACTATCGCTTCTTGGTTCATTATTTTGAGTTAATTTTTTTATTTCAATCCAAACCTTAATACTTTGATAAACCAAACTCCAAACCGAACCGAACCGAACCGTACCAAACCGAAACTTAATCGGTTTGTATTTGGTACATTTCCTATCAAAGCGATTAAATCAAAACCGAACGGAAACCGAACAAAACCGAACCGAAAACCGAAATGCCCACACCTAGGTATTCTTGTCCAATAATAAAAAATACAACTATTTTGAGAATTTTAAGAATTTACTCTTATTTATGCACTTTCTTCGTGTTTGATTTCTCTTTGGAGAATTTTGTCAAAAAGAAAGTATTAGAAATGCAAAAAGAGAGTAGCTATATTGCTAGAGAATGATAGATTGTCAATTATGTACATGTGCGTACATGCGACGAGAATATATACTCAACTCAGTCTAGAAGACAAAGTAGAGAAGTGTATTTTTGTGGGATACTCAACTCAGTCTAAGGCTTATAGACTGTACAACCCCCTTACCAAGAAGATCATTATTTGCAGGAATGTCATCTTTGATGAAGATGCAGAGTGGAATTGGGACCTGAATACTCAACAAGAAGTTACAACACCCAGGATTGTAGGCTTTGATGATCAGCTTCCACATCAGCTCACTTCAGCTACAGACAACAACTGCCACCTCCAACCACACCTCCAACTTCTCTTCTGACACTGATGACATCTCAGAATCTGACAACTCATCAAGTGATCAGACTAGAAGAGTAAGGTCACTATAATATATATCTATGAATCTTGTGACTTTGCTTTTATTGTTACTGAGCCTGCAGATTATCTAGAAGCTGCCACTTATGTTGAGTGGACACAAGCAATGCAAGAAAAGATCAATGCCATTGAAAAGAACAAGACATGGGAGTTGGTGAACCTGCCTAAAGAAAAGAATGTCATTGGTTTGAAGTGGGTGTACAGGACTAAGTACAACTCAGATGGGAGTATTTCAAAGCATAAGGCTAGACTTGTAGCCAAAGGTTATGCTCACCAAGAAGGGGTGGACTATGAAGAAACCTTCTCTCCTGTAGCTAGGTTTGAAACTGTAAGGATTGTCCTTGCCCTAGTAGCACAATGGAAGCTGCCTGTGTATCAGTCGGATGTCAAGTCAGCTTTCCTAAATGGTGACTTGCTTGAAGAAGTGTTTGTTCATCAACCACCTGGCTTTGTGAAGAAAGGAGAAGAAGATAAGGTGTACAGGTTAAAGAAGGTTTTCTATGGGTTAAAACAGGCCCCTAGAGCATGGTATAGCAAAATTGATAGTTTTTTCTGCACATGAGGATTTCAGAAGAGTGATAATGAACACACTCTGTATGTCAAGAAAAAAGTTATGGAATTCCTAGTTGTCTGCCTTTATGTAGATGATATCATCTTTTTCAGTTCTTCACAAAGCATGATAACCTCTTTTAAAGCATCAATGACCAATCAGTTTGAGATGACTGATTTGAGCCTGCTTCAGTACTTCCTTGGCTTAGAAGTTAAGCAAGGAAATGAGGGCACCTTTCATAGCCAGAAAAGGTATGCTATCAACTTGCTCAAAAGGTTTCACATGGAATCATGTAAGCCTATTGCTACACCCATGAATGCAAGTGAGAAACTCCAAAAGTGTGATGGCACTGGGGAGGCAGATGTCACACTTTGTAGAAGCCTAGTAGGAGGACTCAATTATCTAACACACTCTAGGCCTGATCTGGCTTACTGTGTTAGCATTGTGTCAAGATATATGCAGAAGCCAACAACGAAACATCTTGGTGCTGCAAGAAGGATCCTGAGATATGTAGCTAGAATTTTGGAGTTTGGGTTTTGGTATTGAAGTGTGAAAGATTTCAAATTAAGGGGATATTTTGACAGTGATTGGGCTGAGTGTGTGGATGATAGGAAGAGCATGTCAGGATCAGTTTTTGATCTAGGTTCAGGTGCAGTAACATGGAGCTCAAAAAAGCAAGAAACCATTGCCTTATCTTCTTCAGAAGCTGAGTATGTGGCTGCAGGATCTGCAGCAAAACAAGCCCTATGGATAAACAAGTTATTGACAGATTTAGTATGCATGCAGACTGAAAGTGTTGAGCTATGGTGTGATAACAAATCAGCTATAGCTATGGTAAAGAATCCAACCTATCATTCAAGAACAAAGCACATAGATGTTCAATATCACTTCATCAGGCAGCTTGTAGCAAAAGGAAGCATTTCACTTCAGTTTTGTGGAACTGGATGGCAAAATGCAGACCTATTTACCAAGGCTCTAAATCATGCGAAGCATTATAATTTTGTGAAAAGAATTGGAATGATCAAGCTTGGATCAAGGGGTGGTGTTGAAACTGATCAAGCTTAATCATGCATGGCTGCATGCATACGTAGCATTGGCTCCATTGGTTTAATATTTAATTACTTATTATCATTTGAATAAGTCTTAGCATTAATACCTATTATTTAGGAGCATTACTAGGCTGTTGTTTAAGTAGTGCAACACGTTTAAATATGGCTATTAGTTAGGAAGTGGTTAGTTTATTTTGTGGTCATTAACTCATGTAAAATGGCTATATAAAGCTCATGTTCTTTACTCTAATGATATGTGCTTTTGATTGCCTTTATTTGTCTCCCTATTCGTGTGTACTTCATCCTACAATAAGGAAATAAGAAGAAGTGTGAAGTTAATTTCAGGACCTCCCGAAAAGGAAAGTTGGAAGTTGTTTGAGAATCGGAGGGAGTATGTTTTAATAGGAGTAAACATACTCCTTTTTCCTAAATAAAAGTAAAACATATTTTTTTTCTAAATAGGACCAAACATGAATTTTCTACTCATAATATCCCTAGTCTAGTTAAATAATACAAGTAATTGCCCCCCAGTTCTCTTGCATAATCGGGTCAATCGATTGGTGCCAGGTCAGTCCGGAGATGGTGGAGGAGATCCGGCGACTAGCGGCAGTGACAGAGGAAGCACTCTAGATTTTTTCGGTGGATTCCGACAGCGGCGGTAGATCAAGCAGTGGCAGATTGGGGGGGGGGGGGGGGGGGGGGGTAGATCTCTTCTCTACGGGTATTCTTGTCCAATAATAAGATATACCACTATTTTGAGATTTTTAAGAATTTACTCTTATTTATGCACTTTCTTCGTGTTTGATTTCTAGTTGGAGAATTTTGTCAAAAAGAAAGTATTAGAAATGCAAAAAGAGAGTAGCTATATTGCTAAAGAATGATAGGTTGTCAGTTATGTACACGTGCGTACATGCGATGAGAATATATACTTCTTGAATTGTAGAGTATGATTTGTTATTATTAAAAGTTAAGTCATGCAAAGTGTATTTGCCAACAAAAAAGGTCATGCAAACTGTATTTGCTAACAAAAAAGGTCATGCAAAGTGTACTCCGTATGTCATCAGCATCATAATCATAATCATCATTATCATCACCACCATTATACATGCAGAATTGCAGATGATTTCCCGTGTCCACAATAGCAAAGTGCGGTTAGTACACACATTTTGTACACATTGTGTACAAGCCGTAATTGTCTATCTACGTAGTAACGCAGTCAATTCGTTAGAAGTTTTCTTGTAAACAGACTATAAGGAGAGTGTACACAATATGTACACAATTTGAATCCAAATATTTCATTTTGTCACAGATTTATCCGTGACAATTTTTTTTGAATTTTTTGAAATATCCGAAATGGGCTAGGCGGGTAACTTGAAATTTTTGAATAAAACTACTTAACAAATATTTTTTTATGGATAATTAAGAAAAGTTTTTTGAAAAAATTTAAAAACTATTTGCCGGTCACGGATTTAACTCCTATCACTCGAATGGGAATGCACTGCCATATATAAAACTATTTGTCACGGACTTTGTCACGGATAAATCCGTGACAAATACCTTTCGTACAACATTAATAATGTGACCGGTGGAACATCAATTATTAGGGTTTGTGACGGAATTGTCACGGATCCAGCCGTGACAATTTTTTTTTGAATTTTGTCACAAAATTGTCACGGATATGTCTGTGACAATTTTTTTTAAATTTTGTCATGGATTTGTCATGGATATGTCTGTGACAAATTGTCCGAAAGTAAATATATTTTGACCAGAGTAAATTGCCGGTCATCGGAGGCTGTTTGTCACGTGACAAATTTCCGTGACAAAAGGCGTGTTTTTTTGTAGTGTTAAGAGAATGTGATTTCAAACAAAATTTCTTTTTTGAGCTTTTTTCATCGTATACTTCACTAATTGATCTCTCCGTGCGGAGCAAGTTTTTTTTCTCGTGACAAACTTTTCATCTATGATCATTTGCTAACTTGCTATATCGTGGGAGCAGCCCACAGTGAGCATGCTGCTCTCACAGGCAGAAACACTTGTTATTGTTCACGCAGGTGTACAATAACTTTTTTTCACGTGTAAAGAAATGTAACTCATGATGGTAAAAAATGTAACTGCTGGCAAGTCGAAATGTAACTTATTTAATGAAAACAAGGAATCTAATTGCTCAATTACTTTACATAAATAGTAAATTTCTTTGTTTTTAATATTAAGGCCATAAATAATATTTTTTCTTAAAATCATTTTTTTGCCAAAGAAACATTTTTTCGCCAAAAAAGTCAAAAAAAATTGCAAAAATAGTGATTTTTTTCTGTTGATGTTTATTCCTTCAACGCGAGGGTCCAACACGATCCCTTGGACTTCGAATGGAGTGTTTTAATGGATTTAGGGTGTTGCAAGCAAGAGATGGATCAGTATTTCGTAGCAAGTGGGTTGAATCTTATTAAATGTTAATAAGGGTACATATACAACACACTTCAACTACAATCCCCGAGGCCGTTCGTCTAGACTGCTATGAAGAGCTAGATAATTGCTAAGTATGCTGAGAGTACTAAGTCGCTCACTCCTTACATTGAAATAAATGTTACTATTTATACTATCCAGGGGTGGGTGATGTTGATGATGTGGAGGATCCTGAGCGGCCAGCTTTCCAACCACCAAATCTACTATATTAAATGCACTTCCCGCCAATATCTTGGTCTCCCGCCAATGTCTTGGTTTCCTGCCAATGTCTTTGGTTTCCCGCCAATGGGTCTGGACAAACGTCCTCTGGGACCTGGTACGTGGGCTCTGGTGGGTGGACTAGGCTTTGTATGTCTTCTGGTGCACCTAGCCCTCATGGTTCAGGACTAGGCTCCGTACGTCTTCTGGTGCACCTAGCCCTCGTGGTCCAAGACTAGGCTCCGTACGTCTTATGGTGCACCTAGCCCTCGTGGTCCAGAACTAGGCTCCGTACGTCTTCTGGTGCACCTAGCCCTCGTGGTCCAGGACTAGGCTCCGTACGTCGTCTGGTGCACCTTGCCCTCGTGGTCCAGGACTAGGCTCCGTACGTCTTCTGTTGCACCTAGCCCTCGTGGTCCAGGACTAGGCTCCGTACGTCTTCTGGTGCACCTAGCCCTCGTGGTCCAGGACTAGGCTCTGTACGTTGTGACAGGCTTATCATCTGGCTGCTTTTGTCATGCCCGGCCCGGACCTATCCAGACACGTCAACAACCCGTCGTACAGTACGAATAGTCAACCGCAGTCCAACACATCCATACTATACAAGGCGTCTGGAATATCATTCACACATAGTACATCCATAAACAACCATAATGTAAAACAATTCATTAAAGCAGCGGAAACAATAGTACAAGTGTTCAAGTCACACTTGGCAAACTTAGGCATACAAGCACTCAAATAATTATTCAGAAAAAGTAATATCCATGAGCATTAATGTAATTGTTTTTTGAAACAGAACGGAGGAAGCACGAACCACGTTTTCTCTCCTTGATTCTCCCGAAGCAACGAGCGGTGGTAGTGTAACACCCCCATTTTTCCTTCCCAAAATAATAATTGAAATAATAATATATTGATAACAACCTTGATTTATTTCTTGAAAATAGATAGAGTTTTGCAGAGGAAGTAACAATAATGGAAAAGGGTGTGTTACCGCCACATCCAGCCCTCAATTTGGCTGGATGTTAAGGCTATCCACCATGAGTTCAACCGAATTAAAAACTTAAATTCAAAATTTAATAACATTATTTAAACTAAGTGAAGACTACACTTAAATCTTCTAAAGCGCTCTCAAGGCTCGTCAAACATCATGAGCTTCATATTCATCATTACCTGCACAAATAAAGTGCAGAAAACGAAACAAAGAAAAGGAAACAAAAATTAGCTTTAGAGCTAAGTAAGTACTACCCAACCCTGTAAAATAATCAGGTTTGCCGAAAATAGTTTTTCATATAATACTATATAAAAATACTCACACCACCGAAATTCTTTTCAAATCAAAAACATTATTTATCAACAATCTCAAATACCCTTATAATTAAAAACAATATTTATAAGCTCCCAACAATTAATTAATATCTCAAAAGAAGTATCACTTTTCAAAAATAACTTTTGTAGCTAAAAATATCACCATTCCGAAATCAATGTCACTTTCAGATTCTTTTAAGATAGGCGAAACTCAAGATTCCTCGAGCCCAATGAATCGTTGTTGTGTACGACTCATCCTGAAATTCTGGCTCTCATCGACCACCAATTGGAAACTGAACTTCACCCTTAAGTGTGCACACCCCCTAAAAGGGATTCCAAGCCCTCCGAATAGTAAGAAGTCCAAGTAGTTCGGACAACGTCCCCCTACCTCACAATGGGTTAGATACCCGGGTGATTAGAAACTACTACCGCGGCCACCAAAGAACTTTTAAAGTTCTCAAAAGAAATACCGGGAATCTCCCGCCACCAATATTTACCGGGATTTTTCCCGCCACCAATAATCATCATAAACCTAAACTAAACCCGCAGTATATAGCTCTAACCACCCACACCTCGTGTTTCTCTCGAGATGTCAATAATCATTATAAAAACATTATTCATTCTTGGAAAATTATTTCTCTATACATTGTTTTCCAAAATATCCATTTAATGGATACGTCGACCAAAAATCCACATTCATAAATACTCCAAAATTGTATTACATAAAAATTCACTCCAAAGTCATACTAGGGATTAAATCCCAAAGTATATCTCCAATATTTCACAAATTCTTAGTCGCCCAAAATAGTACACATTTAAAATTCACACTTAATCACATAATGCATAATAAGCATATAATACGAGGAAACAATTTTGGATTGGCAAAGAAACTTACCTTAAGTCCTGATGCTCCTAATTCTCTTCCTCAATTTCGGTCTTTATATAATCACCTTTTAATTAAGATGATATAATTAGTCACTTAATTTATTCTTAATAATTTTATCCGATTTCCCCCCTCCTGTAATTGTTAATTAATTATCACCTTATTTCTTAATCCTATTATTACTCATTAAGAATAAACCAGCTAGCCCAGCAGATCATTAAAACAACCAGGCCCAGATGAAAGAAAGAAAAGAAGACGTAGAGTACCTACTATACGTATGTTGTCTCCTACGGCTTCCACGTCGGCAAACACAGGGATTACCGCGTGCTCCATTGACGGGATGATCTTCATTCTAGTGGCGGCGGAGGCATGGCCTGCGGCTAGGCTATCTCCCTTCTGGAGGCGGCTCCTCTTCCTTTCCGGCATCGAGATAGTCCGACACCGGTAGAGCTGGGACTCGGTGGTGATGCTTCTGGCCTCTTCTTCTCTACACGATTGACACCGGTGCGACGCAAAATAGTCAGTGGTGAGCTTCTCCTCTCCCTACGTGGCTGCTCCTTTCTTCGGCGTACAAGCTTTTCCTTTCCGGCGTTCGTTTTCTCGGACGTAGGACCAGTCCGGCGAAGTATCAGTGAAGTGCGGCGAAGCCTTTCTCCCTCGTTTCACGACCGTTTTCTACGTTTCTTGATTCGTTGGATTCCTCTAACAAAGGGGAAGGTTTTAATGTGATATTTGGCTTCGGGTTTTGGGTTAAATCGCTGGGTTGAAACTTCCGTATATATACACACATAGGTATATATGTATATCTATCTACGTTTGTACAACTGGGTGGCTCGTTTTTTGTGTGAGGCAGGCCCGGCTCGGCCCAGGTGCAGCTGGTGCAAGTGCACAGGGCCCCCGGTTTTTGAAGGGCCCCCATTTTTTATTAGGATAGTAGTATACAAGGCCCATTAGGAATGATATTTTTAAATAAACCATTATCAGCGGCCCAATCCAGTGGCGTGTCTCATTGCCTTATCGATAATCCTCTTAACGGGACCTGACTCTTCATT